GTCGTGGGAAGCTGGCATAAAGCAGCTGGCCGCGGCCAAGGAGATGGCTGGGGTCAGGAAGGTGGGGCAGCAGCCATCGGGAAGAAAAGAAAAGTAGCCAGACCCCAGGACCCTAGACCTTAAGGGCCTGGCTCACGGGGTGGGGCACCAGGCTGAGAGCATGAAATAGAGACCTGGTTACTGGAGCTGGGAGCGCCGGCTGGAGCCCTGTCAGAAGGGACAGGTGAGAGTCAGGCACGAGGACCCAGGACAAAGGCAGAGCAGGACCAAGGTCAGCAACCATAAGATTCTCCATGAAGCATGAAGCTTCCTGCTGGTGACCTTGGGCTCCAGGGAGCCCCCTTACCTAGGAGGGGTGCAGCTGTACAGTCAAGGGGCCTTCCAGGTTCCTGTCCCCCTCCCTGCATCAGAGTCTGAGGCAGGCCGTGGACTGCAGAGCCACCCCGCCCACAGGGAGCCGTGAAACTCCACACCCAGGTTCGTGTGATGAGCGGACTTCTGCCTGCACCGCCGTCCCAGGCTCCCCCCAGCACTAAGAGCCTCTTATCTTCCTGACCACACACTCCCAGCATCCCATAATGTCCTCCTCTGTCTGCCATCCCTTTCCCACTCCACTCTCTATTGGAAGAGTTTGCCCGTGGCGTGCACTCCCCGTTCAAGCTGTTCTGAGCGAACTCTCTCTGGCCATCTGGTGGACTCCTTCCCGTGGCTCCACAGTCCTGCTCCCGGACTTGTGGCTCCTGCTTGCCTCTCTCAAAAGTCCATCTGTACATCTGCCACTTATAACACGGGAGCTTCTGAAACTGTCTGGCCACTTGAAAAGCGTGTCCTCCTTGCAGGAAAGGGCCTACACCCTGTACAACTTGGCTCGAGAACGGGTTCTTTCCACACATTCCCTGAAGGCCTCCCTCGGTTAGGTCTCCCATTTCCTGCTATTGCTGTTTCCACATCCTCACAACATTCACGTCTTTGGGGACAGCCAAACCTAAAATACCATTCCACAATCCCTTGTCTGCAATTCCAAATCCCCAGATCACTGGAAATTAAGACGATTTTTTTTTCTTTGCATGTTGGTGAGAAAACCTGACTTAAACTAGTGTGAAACTACTTTATGCCACCCCCACTTAGTGTAAAACTGCAAGTATTGAGGCCAGCATTGTGGTGTAGCAGGTAAAGCCACCGCCTGCTACATCAGCATCCCATATGGGTGCTGGTTCGTGTCCCAGCTTCTCCACTTGTGATCCAGCTCCCTGCTGGTGACCTGGGAGGGGCAGTGGAGGAAGGCCCAAGTGTTTTTGTCCCTGTCACCCAGGTAGGAGACAGAGCTGAGACTCCTGGCTTCATCCTGGCCCAGTCCTGGACATTGCGGCCATTTGGGGAGTGAACCAGCAGATGAAGATCTGTTTCTCTGTCTGTCTCTCTGTCTCTGTCTCTCGCTATATCTTTCAAATAAATAAATCTTTTTTTAAAAAACTCCATGTATTTCACTACAGAAATGTTAGATTCTACGCAGGTCTTCTCTGGGACGTGGTGCCTTTCTGAAGTGTCCCTGGCGGCAGGGCGTCAGACATGGGCCTCAGGGCCTCAGGAGCCTCTCTGTCCTCTCGTGACAGATCTGTTCCAACAGAAGCATCGCGAGGATCTGAGGCTCCTGGTCCTGCCTTTGCACCTGGAGGGGAGAAGACCGCGCGTGGACAAGTCAGAGTCACGGGGAAATCCAGGACAGCAAACCTTCCGATTCGGACGAAATATTATTAACAAGGCCCTTTGTGAAAGAAAGGACAGAGACTCGGGCATGGTCTGGAGCATTTTCTGTAGCTTTGTCTTGTCGACTTGCTGTGTGACTGGGGGCAACTTGCAACACCTCTCTGAGCCTGGACCAGAGGAAAGAGCCAGATCCTGAGAGCTCCTGCTCCCACAGACGATGAAGATGACTGAGAGCGCATGCGACATGTCTGTAGCTTCCAGGAAATGACGTCCTCATAACCTTCCTAAGATTTTTTAAGTAAATGTGTTTCAATGGAATAAATGAATCAGCAGATACCTGCACTGATTCTGCCCAGTTTCACTCACGCTGCATTCTATGAGGCGGGCAAACATAAAATACAAACTCTGGACTTCAAGAGGCTCACGGCCTGACCCAAAGGCCAAGTTCAACGCACAAGAAACAATTAGAGGGATGAGACAATGTGTGTAATGGGTTGTCGAGATGTTGTAGACCCGCAGGGTAGCTCAGCAGCACTCACTGGCCAGGGCAGTGCTGAAAGCAGGTGCAGGAGGTGAGACAGCCTGGATTTCAGAAGATGAGAAAACAAGGTAGGCAAGTGCCCAGAGGAGTCAGGACCAGGTTCGCTGAGGGAAAGCTTAGAAAGACCTCCCTAGGCTAGAGAAGGCTGCAGTCAGTGTTGGGAGGAGATTTTTACCAGAGGTGGGTAAGTTGCGTGTGGAGAATATGTGTGTCTTAGCTCTGGCTGCCAAAACAACCTCCCCTATTTATATCGGGTGCATAAATACCAGAAATGTATTTGCTCACAGTTCTGGAGTCTGGAAGCCGCAGGTCACGGAGCTGGCAGGCCTGGCTTGTACACAGCCGCCCTCTCTCTGTGTCCCACATGGGCTGTGCCCTGCATGCCTCAGCAGAGAGGAGATCCTGGCGGCCCTGTCTCTTCTTATCAGGACAGCAGCCCTGGTTGATTAGAGCCCCACTCTTCTGACCTCACTTAGCCTAGAAACCTCCTTAAAGGCCCTTGCCCCTAACGAAGCACATGGGGGATTAGGGCTTCGAAACAGGTGCTGCGGGAGGCACAGCTGGGCCCTCCCACAGCAAGGAGGGCGTGCCTGCCCAGTGTGGGAAGCCGAGATGTCTGCTGTGGGGCGGGCAGGGTCGGGGCTGGAGCTCTGAGTGCACACTGACCTGGACCAAGTGAATGGACGTGGAACACAGGAGAGGAATCGCAGATGGTCGGGGCCAGGACTGCCTGGCCCACTGAGCCCAGCCCTCACAAGCTCGCGTGCTGAAACCAGACTGCATTTCCCAGGGGAACTGCCCAGCCAGCACCTTTCCATCATTTGCATTCCTCTGTCCGTGCCCAGCACCCTGGCCTGTTGTTCCCATTGCCTGGCTGTGTGCAGGAAAGTGCGAGATCATTACAGACTTGTTTTGTGCCGAGAGCCTGCTCACATCTGGATGGTCGATGCTGATAATTACAGTGCCGGTTACTAAACCTGTTGGGTTTAGGTGAGGCGAGGCTCCACAGCTGGGGCTGCTGCTCACAGCTTCACCGGCAGGCGGGGAGGTGAGAACGAAACCAAGAAAAGTGTGCTCAGATGCTCGGGATGGAGTGAAACCGGTTAATTACCAGTCACTCGCTGTCTCTCCGAGTTGGAGTTTCTGGCTAAGGAACGTTCGTGGATCAGACAGACTATGACAACCTGCAACTTGTTTCCATGATAAGAGGGTGGCGGGGACCGCGATGCAGAGACATGAGTGTGGAGTCGTCAGTCACGTGCCAGGGCCCTGGAGGTGATGTGATCCCTCGGGGTGCGAAACAACTGGCCTCCTTACGGAGGGAGCCGGGGAGCAGGTGGCACCTTGGGGCTGAGTCTTTTGGCTGCCCCGTGAAGGTTCTGAACCTGGGTGCTGGATTAAGTTTCGATGGTCTATGACACACATACACCCCCACTGCAAGTCAGCACGTGTGTATGTGAGTGAACGTTTTCCCTAGAGATAGGCCCACAGCGTTTATCAGAGTCTCAAAAGTTTCATAAGGATGTGTGATCTCCAAAAGGGAGAGCACCTACCACTGGCTGCCCCCTGGAGAAACAAGCCGACCCTGACAGAGCCCCAAGCCTCCTGGCCCCTAAAGATCATGAAATTACACCCAAGGGATGCCTGTGCCTCTCTCCTGCTGAAGTTGTGCGCCTGTGCTGCGGGACTCCGTCATTCCTGCCACATTCTCAAAGGGCTGCACAGTCCCCGAGGGGTTGAGGACTTGAGCTGCACAGGAGCTCAGCAAGCTAGGGCTGTGTGCCCGGCCGCTCCTTGTCAGAGGAGGAGCACAGACCCGACAGCAGGGTGCAGCCTGGGTGCGCGTGGTTCTGCTCACAGGCGCGGATCACCGGGGCTGGCAGGAGGCGCCCACGGTAACACCTAGAGGCACTGTGAGACACCTGGTGATGGTGATGGTGATGGTGATGGTGATGGTGGCAACAGCGCCAACGGCTGGGAAAACGCCCTGGCTCCCTCCCTCGCTGTTGGCGGGCTCCCAGGTCTGCCTTTCTCTTCCCGTGGGGTTTCAGAAACCCCAAATCTAACTCGTGGGAGTTCCAAATCCATTCAGTGAATACTTACCGGGCGCCCACTACGTGCCAAGCGGCATTCTAGGTGCAGACTTCAGAGTGTTATCGACCTAGGCCTGTTTCCTGCCCCGGACACGGGTATTTTGGGCAATGCTGACCAAGCGCGTTGTTCCAGAGCTTAGCCCCTGGGGCTCTTGGTCCGGAGAAGCAGCAGATGCCATCGCGCCCACCGCGACGGGCTGGGGGCGAGGGCGAGGAGGCTGCTGGCACGCACCGGGACCAGGGCAGGTGCGCCGTGCCCGCACCGGTGCTGCGGGGGGACGCGCCGGGCGGGGTGAGGCGGGGACCCTGCCGGCGGCGGGCGGGGGGCGCGGACGCCGCCAGAGCTCAGAGCGCCGCTGCCCGCTCCCCTCCCGCCCGGGCCGCCGCGAAGCTCTGCTCCCCATACTGAGCAGCTCCCGGGAGGCTCGGACACGTCCCCAGGCCAGATAAAAATCCGCTCAGCAGCGCGAAATCTCGCCATCAGCGCGGCTCGCGCGGCAGCGCGGCCAAGCCCGGCCCGGCGACGCCAGATCGCTATCTGGGGGGACTGGCAGGCGGCGCGGCCGCGGGCGGCTGGGGTTCGCCGCCCTCCCCCCGCCCGGGGCCTGCCTTCCTGGCGCTCTCTCCTCGGGGAGAGCGGCTTCCCGCCGGCCCAGGCCCGCGCGCCCCGTCAGGCGCCCTCTCGCGCCGCGCCAGGCCCCGCTGCCTCCTGAAGGTTACGCGACGCAGCGGCGGCACGAGGGGGGCTCCCGCCCTCGCCGCCGCCCACCCCGGTGCCCGCCGCGCCGCGCCGGGCCAGCCCGGGCTGCCGGCTGCTGCCACCGCAATCCCGGCTCCTAAATCAGCGCGGGGAGGCGACCCCTTCCCCCACCCGGCTCCCGGAGCTCCCCGGGCGGCGATTGGCCGCGCGGGCGCCCCCCGCCCGCGGGCCCCCCGGTTCCAGCTGCCGCGCCATTGGCTGCGGGCCTCCGCCAGCCTTTACATAAGGCCGGGCGCGCTCGAGTGGAGTTGTATAAAGCGAGCGCGCGGCGTCGGGGCGGGAGGCTCGAGGCCAGCCCGGGACCGGGGCTGGGAGCTGCGAGGCGGCGGCGGCGGCGGCGGCGGCGGCGGAGGCAGCAGCGAGCGCCCGCGCTCCCACGCCCCCCGGCGGTGGGGCCGAGCGAGGCCCAGGATGGTTCGCGGCACTGACCCCGCTGTGAGTACCCGCTCCCGCGCCCCCACCCCCGGAGGAGAAAGTTTTTCCGGCCCCGCGCACCCCTCCCGATCTGCCCGCAGGGGTGGCGAGGATGCCGCCCGGAGCCGGGGAAGACCCGGCCCGCGAAGGCAAGCAGCTTTGCTCCTAACTTGCCAAGAGGCGCGGGACTTGGTGGACGCGCGGAGTCTCCCCCGCGGGCCGAGGACGCGGCAAGCGCCTGGCTGGAGATGGGGGAGAGCCGGGAGCTGAGGTGTAGGGGCGACCTCCGGCAGCCGGCCGGGAAGGTGGTGTTGGGGGCGCGCCGGAGGTCAGCAGTTTGGGGAGGGGGCCCCGGGGCCGCGAGGGGGCGGAGCAGGTGAGGAGGGATGTGCCGGGGATGTCGCGGAGTCACCCAGCCTGGCAGGCTGGGCTCAGGGCCGGGGACGCTGCTGCGCGCCTGGCCGAGTGCCTTCGCTTCCCGGCTAGGGAAGAGCCCCGGAGGGCCGGCTCTGCGTCCCCGGGGAAGCCGAGCTGTCTCCCCGGCTCAGCGCTGGGTGGCAGAGAGCTTCAGGAGCCGGCCCCGCGCGCAGCGAGGCTGACAGTCGCCTTTTGCTGGATCGAGGTGTGGTCTCGCTTTCAGACTGTCTCGGACGAGCCCGCTTCAGGCATTCCAGGGCAGCCCGGGGTTCCCTGTGGACCCCCTGGGAACACATGGAGGCTTTGATGAGGGCGTCAGGCCGGGCTTGGGGGCATGCCCAGCAGTGCAGCGCGCGTCTTTGCAGTACAGTACTCGGGAGCTCTGCCTGGTCCCGCTTCCGCAGAAACCAACTCAAGAATCCGAAGTCATGCCAGGCTGGGTGGGAGCCTCGCAGAGTGGCGGTCAGACGCTACTGGGGGTGGGGCGGGGGGCGTCCTCCGGGAATGACGAATGAATATTCCCGCTGCCGCTGGTGGTGGGCTCACCGAGGGCGGACTCTGTGTACCCTTGGGGTGCATCAGTTCCCGGGCAGGACACATTCTTGAGTCGCACTTGAGGTGTCTTCTGGGCTGGGTCAGGACTCCCCAAGTGAAGTCAGTGGAGAAGGGGGCAGGGGTCTGCGGGCGTGGGGCGCGGCTTTGTGGTGCTTGAGCCAGGGGAGACCTTGTGTGGGAACAGAAAAGCTCTGGCGGGGAGATGTGTGACTGTGATGGCGCGGGGCGGGAAACACCCAAGGAGGGATTGGAGCTACTTGGGAGAGTCGCACTGGAGCTCCCTGGAGCCTCGGGGAAGGAGTGGACAGGTGGGAACATGGCGGTTGCTCCAGGGTAGTCCTCTAGGAAGCGTTTCCCCCCTCTGGTTTGGTTCCGAACATCTTCCTGGAAGCACACCCACCCAAGAGGCAACAGAGGGAGTTGGGGGTATGGATGCTGGCTCGGGGACCACAGTTAGAATATTCTAGCTTCCAACTGGTTTGAAGGGAGAAGGCTGAAGGCACAGTGGCGTTGACCTCTTGTTCATCTGCTCGCTTAGGGTTGTGTCCCTCACTTCACCCCACCCCTGAACATGGGCGGGTGTTCACATTCCCAGGATGTCAGCTTCGGCCTGGAGATCTTTCACGAGGGCCATCAATCCAAACCCCAACCCCAGCTCCATCTTCTGTCTGCCTGCAGTCCACATTTTCCTGCTGCGTTCCCAAGACCTTCTCGCCACTGGGGATTTGTGCAGCGAGATTCCTGCTTGTTGTTCCTTCTTCCCTTGGCTCCATCTGGGCTGCACCTGCTGTTCTGAGCTCTGGTGTTTATTCCTTGGCACCTTGTTTGGTTTAAGGCATCCTGTGGCTGCACAGGGCTTGCCCCTGTGACTGTGTGGGCCAGTGGCTTGTACAATTCTAGGGAGTGCCACATGGACTCATAGGGAGGACTCCAGATCAGAAAGGCGGTCCCCTTAAGCATCTTGTGGCAGCCTCCCTCTGGTTCTCCTCCTTGCTGCCCACTGAGGCTACGCCAAGCTTTAAGCTGGAGTAGGCTTCCTGGTGTCCAGTAGGGGGCGGCAAAGATACCTAGCTCAGGACCCCTGGCTCTCACTTCTTGCCCTTCACTGGCCATATAGTAGCTTAATGGTTTGAGCAAACTCAGGCCACAGCCCCCAGCCATCACTGTTGTCAGTGACACCCTTCAACCACATGCTTCCTGGATGTCCAGGGGTCCGGTGGCCTCGGGTGCAAGCAGGCATCCCCGAGAGAGAACTGGTGCATAGCTCCACGACTCTCTAAGATTGTTCCTCAGTACTTGGTGCCGGAGTGTTCTTCGAACTCACTGGAGACTCACAGGGCCCGAGCACGTTAGAGCAAGAGAGTAGCATTTAGGAGTATCTGCTCCGGCCCTGTTCCTTCCCCAGTAGGCATGCACACCTTCATTCACAGACGAGAAAGCTGAGGCCAGGGCCCCTGGCCAGCGTCTTGCCCAAGGTCCCCTGGCTGCTGGGTGGGAGGGATGGGATGAGGTCCTAGGAGCCCCAGGTCTGTGTGCAGAGCTGTTTCCACCCCGGGGATCTGCGTCCTCATCACCACGAGGACCGTGGGGTGCCCTCTGTACAGCAGGCACTGGGGTGACCGCACTTTGCTGGTTAGTAAGTCGGAGGAAATTTCTTTGAATCTCATTCAGAGCAGCGAGGTGAGGAGCAGATAGGTTCTTGCGACGTTCATACTCAGGTCATAGAAGGTCCTGACTATCCTTTGCCTTCCTCCACTATCTTTGCTGGATATTCCAGTTGCCTTTTAGGCAGATGTGCACCAACTGCAGGTTTCTGTCTGTGTTTAGGAATCCTCAGTGCCCAGTCCCTCACCAGGGTCTTGGCACCCAGGCCTGAAGCCCTTGCTGTCCTCTGCAAGACTTGCTGAAGTGGACCTTTCTGTCCCGCGGCCATGCCACTGCTGCTGGGCCCTGCGTGGACTGGAGAGTTTGTAAGGAGTGTTCACCTATTTCCCCCATCCTTGCTGCTTCCAGCTCAAGGTCAGAGTCCTGGGCTGTTCTATTTTTTTGCAAAATTCTCATGTTCAGGTTTCCTGGGTGACCTGGAGGACACTGCCATTCCCACTGCCCTTTCTTCTGCTCTGGGAGTCTAGCCGTCGACATCTGAGCTGGGCCCCGGGAAGGAGGCCGCCCCCTCTGCTTTCCTTGGCTCACCCAGCTGCTTTGCACACCCAGCGGCCTTCCTCTGGCTTCCCCGGGAGCCCTGGCTGACTTGGCAGCCTACCCTCACAGGACCCATCGTCACTGCCCCACCAGAAATCTGAGAAGCAAATCCTCTTCTGTCTCTCAGGCTCAGCCAAGGGAAGATGCTGGAGTTTCCTTATTTCTCTCCGACTCACAGACGGGGTGTGTGGTCCCCGTCAGGGACAAATGGAACACTGGGGAGCACCAGCAACCTCTTCTTGAGAGGTTGTGGCTGGAGTCCTCGCCAGCCCCCAGCCTTAGCCAGAAGAATGAGCCTGCTTTCTACTTCTGGATAAGACTGAAGGCATATGAAATATGACCAGGGCACTAGCTCTCTGGGTTTTTGCTTTGATGGGGGAGGGGTGTAGAGTCTGAGACCTTGAGAAAACACAAAGACACCCCTCTTGAGAGCCCCACTAGAGGGCTGACACTTGCCCAGGTCTCATTGTAGAGCTTGGACTCCGGTGTCCCCATCACTGGCTTGGGGACCCTGGACAAACCCCTTGACCTCTGCCGGTGTCACTTGCCACCTCAGCTACGTGGTGAAGCTGGCAGCCCTGTGATGAGCGTAGGGTAGCAATCGAGGAAGGCAGTCCATGGTGTGCCTGGGCCCTTGGTCTGCCGGAAGGGCGAAGGTCCTTGCTGTATCACCGAGAGCCCCCCTGGCTCTTCTCTGGCTCACCAAATGAGGCTGAGTGTCCAGGTCAGGGCAGCAGCCTCCGCTTGCAGCAACATCTGGGCCGGTGGACAGAGGCATCCTTGGCAGGCTCCCACCTTCCCACACCTCAGAGTTTTCACTTTGGGGTTCTGCCTTTCTTGGGGAAAAGGAACGTTCTAGGCCCTTGGGTAATTCTGAGCATGAAGGAGGGCCCTGAACTATCGAGTCCTCAGGAGGGGTCTTTGTGCTGGGAGAAGGCTTCTTGGAGCCCCGTGATGCAAGAGGGCTGACTCCCACTGAGCTTCTGCTGTGGAGCTAGGCGTCACAGCCAGCCTGGGGTCTGCTAGGAATCTCCCAAGAGCCTGGCGTGGTTGCTTAGGGGACACAAGCCTGTGAACTCTCCTGGGGAGAAAGTATGAAATCGGTTGGCTCATCATCACAGCAAACACAGCCTGGGCCGCTTTATGGATTTAAGCAATGAGAAGTAGCAGAGGACTGGGACACTGTGTCCGGAAGGTGTGAAGGAGAAAAGGAGGCAGCGCGGAGACCTTTCTCCCTTTGAATCACTCGCGATCTTGACCTCACTGAAGTCCTCTGGCAGCCACTGGAGGGGCTGCAGGAGACGTTGTCATTGTTATCCTGGGGTAGAGACTGCGACTGGCATCCCGTGGGAGGAGAGGCCAGGGATGCAGCTGGCCATCCTGAGACACACAAGTCAGCCCCACAACCCAGCGTTATCCAGCCCTAAATGTCACTGTTGCCAAGCTTGAGAAACCCTGAACTTGAGCTTTGCAGCATCAAATCACGGCCCATTAGAGGTGGATGGGGGTGAATTTTAGACATATTCTCATCCAGTTCTCCTGTTTCACGGCTGAGATGGTGAGATCCAGAGAGCAAGGGGACCAGCCAGGGTCACCAAGCAAGCGAGTGGCACCACGGGTCAGCTTTCTCCCAAGGCTGAAGGCTGAACTAGCCCAGACTGCCCCAAAGTTGTTGCCGAGATGAAAAGTGAGCTGTGAAAACACTTGGAAAATTATGAAGAGACTATTATTACTATTGCTATTATTAAGAATTTGGGAGTTTGGAAAATTCTATTTCTGGCTGTGCTACTGACTCATTGTGTAATCTTGGACGAATCTTTCCTCCTCTCCTGCGCCTCTCTGTGAGG